AAGTCTGTGTTGGTACTCGTTGACGTTTGTCTTGGTTTAAGCATTATTGTTGGTTTAAGTTAATTGGTTACGAGTTGAGTACATTTCCTGGTCCATACATTTAAGAAACTCAGCTAAAATCACTGGTTCTGATTGAGAGGTTTGTTTTGGATTTTTACTCTGTTCACATTGAAATAAATATTTTTTTTTGTTGTTTTTTGCTTGTTGAAATCAAATTTGATCTTCCTTTGTCATTTCTTTTTGAGAATATCCTGCGACTCTTCCTTTTGATCCCTGGTTCATGTTGGTTTTCGCGAGTTCCCCCATCGTGTGTCTTTTTTCCAGGTTACAATTACACATGTACATGTAAAGTGTGTGGGATGGACAGAAGCTTCATTTTAAAAAACTGAGGTCTTTCATTCAGGAATGACAAATACCTGTAATATTAACCACTTCCTGCTGGGGACTCCGAAATCGGAGACGTATGGTTTATATGCGTGGCCGGGGTCTCCGAACTCGGACAAAGGAAACAGGGCCCTGTAACAAAAGGCCGTACTCCGAGCAAAAGACCAGGCTGCTGGGCATTACCGACATTTTTCACTCTGAAAAGTGGTGATAATCCAGCCTTGTTTTGAAACCGTATTCCCGGGTTTGGGGCATTGAGAGCAAGCGGATTACCATCAGGGACAAAAGCGCTCACCACCGCAGTGATGAGCCATACAGCACCGCTACATGTACATGCTAATTTGGCCCCTATTGAAAAGAGGTCAGCAGTGCACTGAGCCAGGTTCGTGAACAAAAGAAAGTTACATAACACCGCACAATTTGGGCTCTTTTTACAAGGCTGCAGGCTTGGCTGAAATACTCGGGCGTCAATGAAGGTCACCTGCCAACTTAGAGTAGTGCCTAAAGATTACTTTGTGTGGCTATAAACGACTGTTAAATGAAATGATGAATTTTTGAAGAATTTTGAAAACGAAAAAAATGATAGTCATGCCGGCCCAGCATCATCAACATTGGAAAATGCCCCGGCATGAAGTGGTTATTAGCAAACATGTGCCAGTCCAACCTTGCAAGGACTGGATAAAGCCGAGTGCCCCACGGTAATTAACAGAATGGTCACTCAAGCACAACATTGGCAATTTTGAATTGCAAGAAAAAAAATTCTCAGATACAAAATTAATCTAGAGGCCGACATTACTTCCATCTCATTTTTTTTCCCTAAAGCTATGCCACTTTGCTGTGAGGGCCTCACAATAATTAACATCCATGGAGAAACTACGTCAGGTCAGCTAAACAATCCCTTTGTCAGACGTACTCGTACTTGAATAGCACAGTCCCATTATTGCAAGATGTCGAGTAAAGTCCATATGCTGTTCAACGTATTTTATTTGGAATGCTCACCATTTTATCTAAATTCTTGCAAGCTACATTTACATCAGTTATGATTCAATCAATGCATTTAAGGTGAGATATGTCAAAAACTGTGGATTTTAAAAGGGAGTCACAAGCCTCGACCTTAGCACTTGACTGGTGTACAAATTCTAGTAAAAACTGCTGCAGGCTTGTAAAATGTTTTCTTTACCTTTATACCAAGCAGGCTAATAAAGACACACCTACAGGTACCTTTTTAAAACTGTCATTTTTCACATTTGTAAAGATGAATAACATAAACCATGTGAACTTGATTGAGTGTGTTGTTTATTATTAACTGTAACAGGTGAAAATCCGCCACTTTTAGGTTTTATTAAAAAGGACAGCAAGACTCCACATACAAGGCAAAGTACTTTTGCTAAAAAGTGTCCAGTGGGCAAGTGAAACTTCCTGTGGTTTAAGTAAAGATAGGTTGATTTGCCAGGCTCTTCAGGTCAAGGCCTGGAGTCACATTTCCGTCTCTCACAAAGAAAAATATCTGGCCCTCATACCCAAGTAGGTACATGTACATGTAGCTTTCCAGTACACTCAATTGGTTTCATTCTTTGTTAAAGAGTTTGAATGTTGATGTTCATTGGTTTGATTTACATGTACTTGGACTAAAGTTTGGAATATTTCTAAAAGTTTCAATGAAACTTTAGAATCTGTTAACTGTGTATGTACATGTAGGTGAAGGTAGTCAATTTTATTCAATATCCGTCCCTCATGCCCTCAAATCTGCTCTTAAGTTACCGGTACAACAAAATCAACATGGATAACCTGGAAATCTTATGTGGCGATCTTGCACCTGTGACAAGGTTAATACATTTGCACGTATACCTGTTACTGAGAAGAAACATTCCAGAAATCCTTGGAAGAGCCATTAATTTATTGATGTCAGCCCTCGTGTGAGGGATGAATTCGAATACACACTCATCTCAACCGGTACATTACTCCTGAACAAAACCGTACACAAAATCTGCAACAGCATTCAATTCACAAACACGTTTAAGAGTGCGGACCAATGAACATGAATGCTTCTGACTACTGTTACGTCGGGCAGTGCTATTTTTGCTCTCTTGTGAATTCAAAACACAAATCATAAACGTTAAGAATACATACAAACGATGGATGACTACACACAATGGACATAATTCCTATAGTATCCATTATTGCCACATTTGTAAGATGCTTTCTGTGATGTGCTTTTTTCACACTGATGTACATATGTAACTGCTGACCTCGATAATTTTACAGATTTAGGTGTGTGTATTACTAGAATTTCTTTTTTTTAACTTACTACATCAGTCATGAAGACTAGAAGGAAATTATTGATGAGGTCATCTGTCATGTCATCAGCCAGCCACCCACAGTCGGAGGTATCTAAAAAAAAAAAAATACAGAAGGAATACACGTAGGATGTACACGCAACTGGGTGTGTGAAATTATTTGCTATGAGAAATATGTCACATTATAAACCTTCAGGTTAGTTTTGCAGGAAGGATTTTTCAAATCAAATGGTACGTCAAAGGTATTAAATGTGATGTCACATGTTAAAGATTTGGGTTGGGCTTAGTTGTGTCTTGATATCCACACAAAATAACAGTGAGTACTGTCAAACTGATAGGGGTAATTCCAGAAATTAGGGGTCCAAAAGTCTGACTCTGTGTCCCTGTTACATCTGATCGTTATTATTTGACATGGAACTATCACCGGAATTGATTTCAAACTGTTACTATTAGTTTGGCAGGTAATTTTACATGTATTCTCCAACATTTGAGTATGTCGTGACGCCACTAAACAGATATGACTCGCTCTGGCATACTGTACATGTATATGAAAAGTTTGGAAACCAAAAGTTGCAGCAACCTTTTGTGCTCGTCACACAGCTGAAACAAAGGAAGCTTTTAGAAGGTATCATTGTTTCGATCAAATTTATTGTACATACATGTACACGTAGTATAACCATGTACAGTGTATTTGCTTCTGAACTACAAACGTATCTACAGTAAGTACGCGTACACGTATGTCAAGTTTTGAAATGAAAACGATACATGTCACTGCATCTTCTAAAATGGAAAATTTACTCTTGCAATGGTAAGATTTTGAAAAATGAATTCTTTTACGGTACAAAATTTGCAAGATTGTTGATTGACTTGGGATAAGAATTCAAGAGAATCTTTGAGAAAGTGTCAATTTTAGCACTTGATGTTCACGCATCTCAGAGGCAAGAAAAAAAACCCCAAATAACCTCAGATTTGTTGACACCTGCCAACATCTGTTCCTGGCTCATCGAATATCCTATTGACACCCTGGACCATGAATGCTAAGCATTGGTGTGTACATGTGCCATTTGCACGTACACACAATCACAGCAGACTATTGACCCGTTTGTCAATAAAGGACACAACAATACTCCCAATGACTCTTTGAGGGAGCCAATTATAAAAAGCTGTTTCCGACCATTATAATAACACGTGGTCATACACTTGCATTTTGCTTTGTGAAAGCACTCGCTCTGCCTGATTTATACTAATCAGCACACATGAGACACCTCACATTAAAAGTCAATACGCTTCAGGCATCAGCAGACTAAGCAACCCAAAACAAAAACACAAAATAACAACAAATGGAAAACAACAAAACCAAACGTCTCGCTAGATTTCCCGCCCCTTTGGAGTAAAATACAATGTACACGTACAATATATGCACACGTACATTTACCGTACCGGTACATTTATTACAGGTGGCCATCCTATCGGTACAGTATTCAAATATTAATGCTCAACGAAACTGTTATAGGGATGTATGCAAACCTAGACTAAACAAGGTTATTCAATACTGCTAAAATTCAACCATGCTTTATGATAATGTATGCATTGTTTGTACCATGGATGACAAACTGCACAGGTACTTATACATGTACATGATCCGCAATCTTTACGATCGTCAAGAACATGTACTATACAGGTACATTTATGTAAGTAGGTCTACAAGAAAAGCAATGGACCATGCAGTGCAAGCCATTAGAGCTTTTATGCTAATTTTTTGTAGTCCAAAATCAAATTGAAGTAAAAACTGTGATGACAAGCTACATGTACACTGTACGTGTACAGAGACAGTATGCTGGTATGAAAAACAAAAACACACAAAATTAGGAAAAATATGTATTTGATGGCTTTTTCAGGCTGAAAAACAATTGTTACTCTTGCTGTGAACATATTGCAATGTACGCAATATGCCAGGACATTTACTGGTAGTGCATACAGGTATATCTTTTGAATATTTTATTTGGTCATCCATTGACCTGTGAGTAAAATATCGACGTCTCGTATGCTGTACTTATGCATAATTCTCCTGAACAGCTAATGAATTATTACAAAATTTCTCAATATCAACACACATACAGTACAAGGCAGCCGATTTGCTTCTGTCATGTTTTTTTCGCAATCAGTGTTCATTGAAAGACGAAAGGAAGACGGTAAATAAAGCATTTCATTAGTGAGATCTTTTCAACAGAAACACAGGTATACAAACACAGTACGGCAGCACACATTAAGCACATGTATGTGCTTGGCCCCATCATACATGTACATGCACTGGAGTGTCAGTTTGTATTTACATACCAGTACAGTTCTGCAGATGTGCCCCATTTCTGAATGCCTTTTTCGCCATAAGCCCCTATAATGGCGGGAAGTTGCAAGTATCCAACGTGGATGACATCCTTTTCTCTGCTATTTGAACTTAGATGCACAAAAGTTCATTTTGTCCCCTCCAAAAAAAATTGTTTCCGTTTATTTTGTACTCTTCGATAAATTGGGCAAGTTTAGATTCATTACAGTTGTTCTGAGAGTGGTACAACCATGACAACACAATTCTATTTGGGAAAAATATTTTGTCCCTTGCCACATTTTGCACAATACAGATATGGCAGTGGTAATATCCACTTGCTCCCCCCCCGATTTTTTTTTTAACGAATAGTTCATAGGTGAGTGGGAAAGAAAGTAATCAGTATATTTTTACCAAACATTAGCACCAAAACCACATGAAAACAACACCATGAAATAAAAGCAAAAATGTCAGGACCGTGAGCAAGGCTGTTGATTGTTTCTCCACCCAACATCACATTGAATGAGCCTGAAGCCAACATTCGCTTTTGAATTTGCCCCCCCCCCCAACATCTAAAGGCTAAAGCTGGATATACACCACTGGATATAGGGTACATGTACGTCTATCTACATGTACATGAATCGTGTGTTGTGAAGAAGTCATATCTTACAATAAACAGGTATATTTCTAAATATAAATTTTCTCCCAAATGATTTTGTTCCACTCTTGACTCTGAGTGATGTGAACCTTCAAATAATTTTGACAGCTCCATCATGCCCATGATATACTCTCATCACTTCTCCAGAAACATTCAGCATGGTCGATCGGCTTTTTCAAGTCAAGATCGTAAGATTGGTTCCAGTTGTGAATGTTTAAAACTGATGATGGACCTCGCCATTAAATCGAACATCAAAATAAAGCAGAGATTTTGAAAGTGGATATCGCCTTTAATTAAGGACCCAGCGAACGACAACGCTAAACCGAAGCACAGGTTGCCAACTGGCATGACTGGGCGGTACCTGAGCAGCTCACTCGACTGTGAAGAGATAAATGCCGTCGAAATAGATACCTTGGTTGACCANCTTAAACACAAGAATTTGATAACATAATTCTTTAACAGAAAATGAGGTTTGAAAAGGTGGACTGAGTGAAAAATAAAAACAGAGAGTAAAGTTCACTCACTATGTCTTGCGTCTTCGATACCGTAGGTCGTACCTGCATATCCCGTGCATGCTGCGCTAGCTAATAAATACGCTACGCTAGCGCGCTAGCGATATCGATGATTGCGTATCGATGATACGCCTGATTTCTGAGCTTGTGCAAGTTAGCTAGCTCTAAATCAGGAGATAGAGGGCGCTGTTGATCGTCCAACATGGCAGTCTGTGTCGCAGTGATAGCGAAGGAGGTACAGTATTGTTAGAATAGAACCTTGTTCCTTTTTACCCCAATCCAATAAAGCATTTGTTATCATTGGGTATCTGTAACGTTTTGAGTATGACACTGATATGGGGGATTGTATACCTGGGAACCCCCAGTTTTCTTGTCATTTTAATCTCGCAAAACTGGCCGCTAGGTACTAGTCCTAGTAATAAGGGTCAACTCGCACGCACCCGGCATCATGGGCAGGCCTGTATGTACTGGGTTTACCTGCTTTACACGGTTTACAGTCAATCAATTCAATCAGTTTTACTTTATTTACCACCACAAAGATAGGATAAATACACATTATTAAGATCAATTATATAATTAAGGTTGACAAGCTTTGCTAAAAAGCAAAGCTTGTCCAGAAGTGGCCGCCACATTAATTAAGTTAAGGTTACATCAAGAGATTGCACATGTACTCATACAACATAAGACTTTAAAAGACAATATACATGTAAATTAATAAAACATGGACATACATATGACAAGTAAACCCGTTATCTTTATAAATAATTATTTAACAAGCAAGTCTTATATTTAAATTTAAATACTGACTTACTGCCAATACTTTTAACAAGGAATCTAATGAACTCCATAATTTTGGTCCTTTGTGTCTTATCGTGGTTGCAGCAAGTTTAGTATGCGATAAAACCCTGTGGAAGTCAGTACGTTGCCTAGCATAATAGTGATGAACATTTTCATTTTTTCTAAACATAGAATAGGCCTAAATGGATTTGGGCAATCTGGTTTGATTACGTTGATGCACGAAGGTACCCAGTTGAAGATGATATATATCTTGTATGTTTCCACAGGGTTTTATCGCGTACTAAACTTGCTGCAACCACAATAAGACACAAAGGACTAAAATTATGGAGTTTACATTCAACAAAAAGAGGATCACTACGATCCTGAAAGCTTGTCAAGTTGATTATTCTCAATACCTTTTTTTGCAATCTTAATATTCTATTCACTTCGTCCCATTTCTACATCGCCCCTAACCACTTCGCCACATTGCCCCATACCCGCATCGCCCCTTCGCCCCATTTCCACTTTGCCGTCTGTTTTGAGTGTGTTACAAGCCTCTTCAAAAAATGGTTGAGGAGTTTCACAAACGACATGAAACGACATGTAGTTACAGAAAACTCTACGGCATTAAATTAATGTCCCCTGTGTTGTCCATTATGTGTCAAAGGTGCGGATGTAGGAGCCGGTATCAGGGTTATCATCGTTTATAAGTTATTGACCATTTGTCATGTTTGTGGACTAGTTTTTCTTTGATGTTTATTTGAACACGATGACTTTTAGTTATGAAATCGCCAAGGGTTTGGCTGCTCATGCAAGTGGTGAGGTATTATGTCTGTTCCCATTACGATATGCCGACTACATTATTAATTATCAGAATGTTTATTATTTTCAATTTTTGTCTGTTACACATCAGGTCATTCATTCAAGTCTGTAATAACGAGGTTATAGCCAAGAAAAAGTTATCATTTTTTTTCTGTAAAATTTGACAGCGCAAACGCTTCAGCTGCATTCTTTGTCAGTGCATTCATTCAGCGTCGGGGGAATGTTTGCTTTGTGGTTGGATTAGTTGGACGCTGTTACGAACTCACTGACCTCTTAAGAAGTTAAGAAGGCACGTTTTTTCGTTACTTTTCTCGGGTAGGCTTTGTAGCTGCCTTTCAACCACACCCTAAATAAATTTCCCAGAACGTCTCAGGGGGATTAAAATCAGGAAAAAGGGGAAGAAATGTTATTGTAATTCATTCAGGGTATTAAAAGGGAGACAAGTTATCGTAATGCTTTGCGTCACAATTCGTCAAGTCGTTTGGTCGTGTGTTTTCGTCGAGGGTACAAGTTGACTGGGGTACGAGTTGGCTGGGGTACAAGTTGACCTGGGTACAAGTTGACTAGGGTACGAGTTAACTCGGGTACGAGCTGACCCAAACCCGCCGCTAAGTCCCCCAAAATAAAGGCACCTCTCTCTTTATCATGTTTATTGCACTGACCCTATTTTTTGAAGATTTTAGATTTTAAATTGTGAGAAAATGTGACTTTCTGATAAACCAAAAACTTTGCTGATAAACCAGCCATGCAAATTTGAATCCACCATGTGTCATGTGTAAAAACACTCACAGTTTCCCCCTCATTATTTCCCTCAAAACTCATCACTCTGCCCTTTTTCATGTTTTTTTACAACATGGCATGATGATGATGTCACAGTCATCTACATGTACCAAGGTGAATTCAAAAGCTGAAATGTAGCTCTCCCTTCTATTATAGGAACAGGGTCCCCAACTTTACTATCTCCCAGTTATGTGTGAAATATTCCAGAGTAGTTCGGCGCTGCTGCAGCTGTAGTCAGGTAGTAGTGGTCCGGCCCCCTGAGTTGACCACAGATGCAGGCATGTCAGGCTACATGTAGTTCATCATGTCCATGCACGGCGGATATCCTGTGCACAAACATGACAAACCAGTATTGAGACTGCTCTGAAGTATTTTCAAAGTAAACACTTGAATACATGTTGTTTCCCTGCCAAATGTGACATTTTAGGACATGCGTACTGCACAGTTTCCCTGTTAAATTCCAGTGCTCCTGCTAAGCATGTTGCCGTTTTTAATGTTAGGCCTACTGGTACTACATTCAAATGGCACACACGTTTTGAACCAACTTGACCTTGCATATCGCGACCGAATTTCGCAAAGATCACGTCAGCCTTCTGACCAACCCTTTGGTGAGCCCAGACGAGCGGCTGTCCAGGTAAACCCGCATGTAATGAGTGAGACTGTTTGGAGTGCGGTATGCCAACACGTGCTGCTCAGTCTCTTTTCAGGCATGTCAGGACGGACACTTAGGGACAGACTTCAGGGACGGACATTAAGGGACTGACTGGACAGACAGACAGAGAAATGATGGACACTGACACCTTTAATCATGGGTTTCTAATGGCAATCACAATGTTTTTAATTACTGATATCCTTCTATTTGGCAAAAAACTTCATCGAATAATTAATCAAAGAACAGCACCTTTGCAGATGGTAAGGACTGTAAAGCACAGCCAGAACTCCTGGCCCACTGCGGAAACTACAAGAACTCCTGGGAACCCCAGCCAGCACACGGACTGAACTCCCACCTCCAAAAGGTCCCCATTCCATCCCCAGCTTCCGATCCCCTATCGTTCCTACCCAGTAGATCAGCACTCCAGACGCTGAGCAGCGATTCACATACATGTCCTTCCTCTATGACGCACCATGATCATCTCCCCGCTGCGCTCACGCTGTCCGGTGTCTACCAACTGGGGGCGCTGCGTAAACAGCCACTAGCTCTGCGAACTCGCTGCAAGCACGCTTTTGCGCTACAATATCATTAAGATGTAAGTGCACTTCCCAGCCTCCCTTGTGCTGACGACTACTTTGTGACGTGTACATGTATGATGGATGATTGCATGCTACAGAGTAATGTCTTGAAGTACTGTAAGTAATCGCATGCAAGCAGCTAGCTTTATAGCTAAGGGACTAACTCCTACCACACCATGCGTGAAAAACTTTCAAGAGGAATCCTCTACACGTTGATTTTCACAGAACTATCCGCTGTACATCACCACAATACCGACGGAAAATGAACTCAAGTTTCACTACACTGTGCACACGTGTCTGGATGTCATCGAGGAGAAGGTGTCGGCTGTCGGGAAGAGTGTGAATGACCCCAGGGAATTGTATCTTGGCCTGCTGTATCCGACAGAGGACTACAAAGTCTATGGATACGTCACAAACACAAAAGTCAAGTTTGTCATTGTGGTGGAGTCATCCAATATGCAGCTGCGAGACAACGAGATCCGAAATGTGAGTCTCCGGTTTCCTCTGTGGAAAAGAATTCTATATACAGACACCGCTTTATGACCGGTGCATTAACCCTATGAGACTGGTCTGAAATATTTTTGTTGTTTTCTAACTGAATACCTCAATATTTTTATTTCTTCATTTGACTTTCTAGGCCATTTTATTGCTTCCATTTACCTAATTGGTCACTGCAGGAAAGATAAGTGGTGTCTGTATATGGAATCAATATTAAAATCTTATCCCAAACCCATCAAATTTCATTAAATACGCGAAATGCATAGTAACCGACTGCCCCTCACCCATGCGTGGAAGAGCCTTGGGTGTGAAGAAGTTGCAGATAAGGCCGTGTCCGAGCGGGCTTCCAAACATACGGCTAGGTCTTTTGTCTACATGTCTCCATGCATTTCCAATGGAGCGAAGACCTAGACCTAGCTCTAGACAACATAACTGACAGAATGGGGGCCGAGCTCAGAGGCCATTTCATGCATATGTAAATGCGTACTACCAGACGAACTTAAATCGTTCACTAATTGCGACAGAAAGCGTGTAGTTTTGCAGAATTTTCTGCAAAATACACTGTCCGCAGGCGTATTTAGTAATTTCAACACAGCATTTATGGAATGCGGGATACAAGGCACTTGTGGACAATATTTGAGCTGTTTTCGCCAGGTAAAAATGTGAGAAAAAAACCATTGAAAAAAATTGCGCATTGTGGGAGGACTTTAATACCATGGACGTTAGTCGCAATGCAATGTAGATGACGTCCAACCTGGGCTAGGGAATCCCCGGAATCAGGCAGGGACTGAAAACCCAATCCTTAGAAGGGACTCAACCCGGGTCAGAGAGGTGGAAGACAAGGAAAGTTTTGCATTCTTTTGAGGGTATCACCTGATGGCCCAGACACTTTTTCTTCTTCTGCATCTTGGGTCAGTGTTTTGGGTAATACAAGAATACTGTATGCCCAGTGTATTTATTGTGGTGTTGAAATTTTGAAGATTCAGAAAGATACTAGCTCCCTGACTCAAGATTTAAAAGTTGGATGGTTTTCCCTATCATATTAAGGTCTTTTTTTATATTTCATGAGGGAGTTTCTCTAAGCTGCCAAACGTCTTTTTCACAAGGGTTCACACATTGAGCAGATGGCTTGCACCTTCTGCTGATTGTGAAAACTTGCTGTAACATGTTACTGGCCAACATGGAACATTGCTTGTGACTGGTTCTCGGCGAAGTTTTGCCTGGCAAAAGAACTCAATGAACTTTTTTTTTCAGCTGCGAGCTTCCAAAATTTAGGCCCCAGAGATTACATAGGAGGGCATATCTTTGTTCTGTGTTATAGTCACAGACACTTCCAACTCATTTATATGTGAGCTGTCACCGCAAAATGAGCTGAAAGTCAGAATTTTCAAAAATTGAGATATTGGTATTTTGAATTCAGCAGAAAGGAAGCTTTCCAGTGGTATGTACATGGAACACTTAGGGTAAAAGTATAAGGTGACAATGTGGCATTAGTCTGGCACCTTTGCGTCTTTGTTCCCGACATTGTTTCAACATTTCACACCAGGCACAAATAATGCTATCGTCAAAATTGGTGTGAAAATGAAGTTTTTAAATATTTGATCCTGGAGGCGGGTTACTCTTTTCATTAAAAAAAAATAAAATTTTGTGTAATTTATTAAATATTACAAAACCCCCAAAGTGACCTTCACTTCAATAAGTATGACTTTGAATTCTCAGAATAGGGAAGGGCAGGATGCGACTTTACTCTCATTTTGACAGATCACATGTAATAAATATTCCTATCACTCAGTGGTGGCTGTCAGTTAAAGGAGCATGAATGAATTTGTTTTGTCTTTTCTTTTTTTAGATGTTCAAGACTCTCCACAATGCCTATGTGGACATGCTGTGCAATCCTTTCTACACCCCAGGCGAAAACATTAAATCCAAGTATGCATGGAATATTCATGTCTGTGATCGTGTTATAGTGTTGCACTATGATGTTGAATTTCAAGGATTTTCAGTCAGAGCTCTCGTAAAAAGGTTGCTGGGATGAGCTTGCTTACCTTATCACTGGAACAGTGTTGGAGTGTTTTATTTTGACTGTAAATATGTGACTTTGGAAAGCCGAGCTAATACGTTACAAACTGTGTAAAGATCAAGAATGTGGCACATCTGCTGCCAAAATATCTCCTCGGATAATTTTTCCCCTCTGTTTTGCTTCTTCTCTGCAGGACTTTTGACAACACAGTGATGCAGATGATGGTACAAGACTGAAATATGTCTCTCCCAAAATACATGTCTCGTCAAGCATTGGCTGAGGGGGAGAATGATAAAGGTGGACATTGAAATGAAATACATGTACCTGCCCTGTTGGCAGAGGGCGGAAGTGGGATGCCTATCTATCCGTAGGCAGGTGGAAAACAAGATCATTTGTGGAAACAAGTTTTAAGAGGTGATGCAGGCACAGTATTAAGGATACAGTAAACTCGGACTAAGTTGGCATCGCGTAACTCGTCATGTCGTCTAAGTTGGCCTTTTGACAAAAGTCCTGTAATGCATTTCCATTGACAATTTTCATTCCTAAGTCAGCATTTATAAGTTGTCATTAAGTTATAAGTCAGCATGTTTTTCTCGTTCCCTTTTCTACAAAACCACAAAAATTCCTTTGTGTAAGTTGGCATTAAAAAAAATTGTGCTTCGGTATCAGTTTCCTTAGCCGCAGTTGTCAAGAAGTGTCAAGTGACAAGTCCCACACTGCTTGACTGATATCTGTTTATTAGCAGCAGGTACAGACCGTGGTTGATAATCGGCCAGCATGAGTACACTAATCCCCATGTTTCGTGCAGTCAGTACAGTTTGTACATTATTCGCATACACGTTTTTGTTCATTCAGTAAAATGAAGATAGGCCTAAAAATCATGTTCAATGAAACGCAAACTAGCGACAAAAACGTACAAAGAAAAGTACAAGATCGTGAAGTTTTGCGAAGACAATCCTGGGATGCAAAAGGTGGATCTGGCTCAGAAGTTTGGCATTCCCTGAGGAACCTTGTTCGACATCCTGAAGAACAAGGACAAAGATCATTGAAGCTGTGGAAAAATCTGATGCCAGGAAGGGCGGTATAAAGCGCATCAAGCAAGTAACTTTCTAGGATGTGAATTCTGCCTTCATCGCCTGGTTTCGGCAGAAATCCAGTTTGCCAGATATTCGAGTCAACGGTGAAATGTTGCCAGTTCAGGCACGGAAATTCGCAGCTGATTTTGGCCAGAATGAACCAGAGACTCTCACCCCAAGTTGGATTGAGCGTTTCAAGGCCCGGTGGTGAATCAGCAGAGTCGTGCAGGCGGGTGAATCTGGCGGTGTCGATGGGGCTGTAGTCAACAATTGGAAAGAAAGGCAACTGCAGTTACTACTAGAGAAGTACCGACCAGAGGACATTTATAATGCCGACGAAACTGGACTCTTCTGGCAGATGCTCCCGGAAAACTCCCTCAATTTTAAAGGAGAGTCTCACCACGGGAGAAAAGAAAACAAAGTGCAAAGAACTTTACTTGTTTGTGCCAATATGGATGGCTTGGACAAGCTCCCCATTTATGTCATTGGCAAGAGTGAAAAACTACGCGCATTCAAAAAAGTACGTCACTTGCCAGTTACCTACACTGCCAATAAGAAGGCTTGGATGATGTCTGATTTCTTCGACAAGCGGCTGAAAAACCTGGATAACCAGATGGTACGTGAAGGACGGAAGATTGCCATGGTCGTGGATAAATGCCCAGCCCACCCTCAAAATGAATGCGACAACATCGAACTGGTATTTTTACCGCCGAATACCACAAGCTGCACCCACCGAGGGATGGTGGTGTCTTCATGAACTTGAACCCACCGCCTGGAGGCAGCTGAGGGAAATTCCCCCTTCAAATGGGATCTCCTTGACGCCCTTTTTGCAGTCAAGAATGCATGGCGTCAGGTCACTCAAGCTACTGTTGCTAACTGCTTCCGGGGAGTTGGCTTTGTTTACCCTGACGAGACAGGCCCAGCAGAAACTCCATCTACCGATGATGCTCTGCTGCAAAACGAAGGAGAAGCACGTCAGTTCCGAAACATCTGGGACAATCTAGCAGACATCCTCGGCCAGGATAAGATACCATCACTTGCAGACTATGTGGATATTGATGCGGAGGTTGGAGGCAACACCCAGCAACTCACGGAGGAGGAAATCATTGAATCAGCGAGGTCCAGAAATGCCAACTCGGATACGGAGGTTGAAGATGCTGAATGCACTGGCGGTGTTGATGAGGTCCCCGGTGATCCTGTACCACCTCCTTCTATCCGTGAAGCTCTTGATGTTATTAGGCACTTTGCTTTGTCCACAGAAGTTTTCCAGGAAAATCTGATAGATTTGGGAGATTGCTTGGAAACCTTTCTTATGGCTCAGATGCCCATGAGAATGAAACAATCGCAAATCACTGATTTCTTTTGAAGGGACAGTATGTAGGCCAAAATGGTTTTCAATTATTGTATCTTCCCATTCACAACGTGAATTTACAAATGTGTAATGAAATTCGACAGTGTTCCATACTTTGCCAAACACAACTTGAAAAGAGGTAGGCCTGGGCCTTATGTTGTCTCTTTTTCCCCCCGAAGTTGTGCAGTACAAGTATACGAGGCAACTGAATGAAAAACGTGGGAAACTTTTAAAGATGAAGCATTGTTAGCCATTTGCTGTTGAAACATTCCTTCTCATAATGTAAAAATAATAGTGTTTTTGAACGCATAATTTACTAGTGTTGTCAAACTTACCCAACAGAAATAAATTTAAGTTTTCAGAGTAATTTTTGAAGTTAGTTGGGTCAATAACGCATGGCAACAAATAAGTTCAGGTACTACATGAAAAGGAAAGGTGCAAGGGAGAACATGTAATTCCAATTTTAAAGCTTTTTTTTTTCTTTTGTGTTAGACTGCTTTTTATTTGCAACAAAATACACCACCCACATGCGCAATAGAGACAGGCTTGCTGGTATACTACCGCTCAACTGTGAGCACATCAATACCAGTAACCCCTCTAGTGCTACACGCGTGCGCTCTGTCCATCTTGGGGGTTGCCTTATTGAATGAACTTAACCAATTTGTGTTCGGATGAGTGTGTTTTCTGTACCGTAACTGTATAATGTACATGTATATCTGCCAAACTGGGTGATGCTGTGGGTTTCAGCTTGCATCAATCACCAACCCTGTTGTATAGCTGCAGTCAGTGAGCTGTACCGGGCAGCTTGTCAGGCTATCGTTTCAACTCCTTGAATCTTTCACAAGTACCCCCCCGTCCTATGCCTGCATGTTGACCTGATAACACTGCACATGAACTTGTATGTCATCTTTTATGGGCCTGTTCAGTTCTACTGCACCCTGTGTTGGTGGTGTGTCCATGTTTTTTTCAAAACAGAATCTCCAAACTGACAGGCACTATTTGAAATGCACTACATGTATTTGGGAATAGGGCACCCTGCCAACTAGGATTGTGGATCATATCAAGTTGGATGTTTGGAAGCAAACATGGTGCATGCTGCAGGATCTGCAAGGATCATCGCAGGACTGTCCTGGGATGTTCAACTGGGATTACTTTGTTGGAACGCATGCTGATTTTAATCAAGAACACACAGGTGCATTTTGGGGAGGGAATTTCTTTCCACATGGACATGGGCTGCATTGTAAACAGCCCTACCGCACAGAAAAATAAAATGCCATCGGAAAATTGTGTTCAGTAAGCCTAACTTTCACTTGACTGAAACGCATGGTAAGATTGAAATGTTTTACACAAATGCATACATAAGACCAGAGTGACACACATTCAAGTTGGTTTAACAGAAATTTATTGGGCATCTTCTCACAGGTAACACATCAATACATGAACTGTTGAATTCTAGTCTACTTTATAGAAGTATTGTTGGGGGAAAAAACTACCTACAAGTATTTGAAAAGAAACCCTGTTATTTCCCTAACTGCAATGCTATTACACCTGCCTCCCTCCCCCCCAAAAAAATTCATGGTGTTGATTTCATGTTGGCTATTGTTAAATAACAGAGTAATTAAATTAAACTTAGAGTGAACTATTGTACATATGTAGTCTGAATTTTAAAAAGGAAAAAAAATAACAGAAGATGGTCTCAAAATAATTTGCTGATTTGACTCTTTATTTGTTGGTTTTGAAGGAATACATATGGTATGGCTTGTATGCATCCTGCTTCAACTAAAATTCGATTGTCCAGTTTTTTGGCCTCTAAAACAAGCCCATGACTGCAATTGAAAAATGACTCCAGAACTGCAAAGACATGGGGCAACTCGGCCAACACCCTGACAAATCACATGTAGTTTTCTTTTCTAAAGGGGAAACCATTTTAAGGCACATGGCTTAAAGAGTATCCTTTTGGTACACACACGTCTTTGGGGCATTACATGTAGAACAATTACAAGTCCTAACCTTTAAAGTAGAATTTTAAAGGGAATGTTGATATGAAACTAATAAAAAGTGAGCTGGAAAATCAGTGTGCAAGTTGTAAGAGTTCCGTAAGCATGTCCTTAAAATCTCTAACAAAACACAAATCTGCAGTTTTGTTGATGCTGTGACGAATTGGCCCAGGAGAGTCTCTGATTTTGCACGATTCAGTTTTCATTTCCATAACTTTTTTTTAATATTGGCAACCTGCCCACGACCCTCTGGATGTGTAAAAAACAATGAATGCGTCTAGTCTTAACCTTTGCAAGTCTCCAGCAACATAGGCCAACTTTGCCTAAAAATGTCAGCCTAATCTTGGCACTGCATGCTCACCCAGCAAAACGGGGGTTGCAGAGAGCAACGAGAGCATGAACACAGCATCGAAGAGACTTTCGCTGTCTTCCCCTTTCTTGATCCCCCCCTCGACATCAGTAACGATACTATATACATAAACTGGCAGGATCCAGCAGTTTCAACGTTTTGTATTCACTTTTGCTTTGGATTAATAGAAATTTTGATTCATCTTAATGTTGCATCAGGCATTAGCTCCCCCCACCCCAGGAAAATAAAAATTCTGCTTCTTTTTTGACACTGGGCTGTGGTTTGCCAGTTCTTTCTGGAGTAACAATATGCAAAACATACGTACAAATTTCTCAGTAAGGGGAATACCTGGAGTAGCGGCGAGGTCTGTGGAGAGAAGAGAGAGGTCGACCGTTAACAACCTAGAATGGGTATAGCACACGCGCTCCAAAATAGACGGACACGCTCAGCACCCAGCTTGTAAAACAATTGGGTGTGGACAGATTATACTTTGAAATCACTCAAAGGCTGTGTCCGAAACGGTCTTCCAGAGCTGTGGCTAGGTCTACCGTCAGTGCATCTCCGCATATTTCCAATGGAGTGAAGACCTAGACCTACAGTACCTCTAGACAGCCGATTCGGATGTAGCCTATACTTGAAGCACGTGCATTTTCTACCTGCTAAACCTAGTAACAGAAGCTTGCTAATTACTGATTTAAAACTGCTTAATTAAAATAAAATGAACTTATGTAGTTCTTTCTGTAATTTCTGCAAAATTACAACTTTCAGTAATCTTCATCTCCGTGTCATTTCTCTCTGTTCGTGAAAGAAAACTGAGTTGACTGGCTTCAATTTTGTGCAGATGCATGTTTTCACTGCTGACTCTGTTCTGACATAAACCTTGAAGATATCCAGTGTCACTTGTATTCAAAGGCTAAACAATTCAATTGTATAGTTAATTGTATACATTTTTCAGTTGCCTGTAGTTATTGAAGAGGTGAAGTTGGTGTTTGTATTGGTGTCAAAGAGACTCCAGGTTCTCCAGATATCGACATCTGGTTCTGTTCAGGAATGCCAGTTTCTCCTGAGGTATTTTGTTTGCATGGGGTAATTACAAATCAGCCTCTGATGGCAACACCCCACAGTGCACAGCCTCCAATCACAACATCGCCATCTCGGTTTCCAGGACATGAAGGAGGAGCACTTACCAATTCCGAATCTATAACTGGCCACCAATCACAGCATTTCTGGATGGGATCGTCTGGACCTACATTTTGTTTTTGTGGTTTTTTTCCTTCTCTTTCGTCATTTTTCTTTATTTTTTCTTATTCTTTGCTTTTTTTAAAATGTTTTTTTTTCTTTATTTTTTCTTTTTTTCTTTAATTTTCTTTGTTATGTTTTATTTTATTCTTCTTTTTACAATCCTTTGGTGCAAAAGAATAAAATGTTTTGATTAAAATACAAAGCACAACAAATGGGGCAATTCCACTGTAACAGAATAACATTTTGACACACAGTGGTGGTGCGTGGCGAAAAGATCATTAACAGATGACTTCTAGCACCCACTTTAACCCCTTCGTGCCGGGACACGGTTAGAGTCGCCGTAAAAATTGAGATCTTCGGCCCGCTTTTCAGCTATTATTCACAGCCCACGTTCGAGCAAACACGGTTCAAGAAGGCAGATCCTGGCTCTTGTACATACGGTGATTGGCCTTTGAGCGTAGCCCAGAAATGAAAAGACTGAATTTGCATCATAATCACCAGCTTCACAATAGTCCCCACNTTTGAAAAGAGGCAGCGGGAATGTGGAAGCGTGAGTAGAGCCACATGCCACCGAACAATCAGCCTTTTCACCGTGTAATTCAAAGCGCGCAGGGCACGCAGGGCCACAAACCGAGAATCTGCAGTTTGGCAGGTGGCCTTCATGGCCAAGCGAGGCTGCAATTCTTGGAGTCGGCTTTCGGGAAGAAATTCCTGTCGTCAAGGGGTTTAGTTCCATGTTTGGTTTGTTTTTTATAAATACGTTGCAAACCGGTGGTCCTTGGGAAACTAGAAGTCATCTGTGAATGGTCCTTTTGCTATTTCAAGGAAGTATTCATAATAAACTTTTATTAACTTCAGATGCGTCAAAATGTCAGTTTGTTACAGTGGAATTGCAGAACACACAACAAACACTCTACGTAGATTTTTTTTTGTTGCTGGAAAATGAACCAATACACGTAAACCAAGAAAACAATCTAATAAATACATGCACTGGGAAATGCAAGATCCTGGAACTTCACTTCGTGGTGACCATGCTTTTTCCATGGTTCATCAAAAATGTTTTTAATTGACATTTCTGCAATAACACCCCAAACATCGTATCTATCAAAATCCAGCAAATGGTTTCAACTGGATTTTAATGGATGCAGGGACACAGCAGCCAAGCCACTACCCTTACACAGGGCTTGATGACTTAACTTTGTTATGCAAACCAAGTGCTGCAGGGCCCAGTGTTGTGAAGCTCTTAAGCAGGGGACTGCACTTGTCAAATTTATTACAAAGCAAAAATCAGCCAGGGACCAGTCACGAGCAGCAAGGCATAAATGGCATTGCAGCTAGTAACCTGCTTTTGATAAGCAGATGTTGACAGCCCCTGGAAAATGGCTTGAGGTTTGAATACTGCACCCTGGTCAGAGTTTGGCAAGTTCAAGAAGATTTCTAGGAAAACTACAGAGAGAGTAAGAACTGTTGATACTGAGCCTAATTAAATTCCAGTCCTGACCATGTGACAAAGTGAAACGTGATCACGCAAGACGTGCTCTCTACAGATACAGGTATGTACGTGTAGAGTGGTGAGAAACTTTTTAAACACAAAGCGGCAATGGTAGACACATGAGGATCGGATGTAAAGCAGTCATATTTTCCTGGGATTGGGCCATTTCTGTTTTTTCATGCAAATGTAGATTGAATTCGATGCTGCAAAACTCACTAAATTTGGAATGGGTTCAAGTTTTGGCAAATTCTTGGTGTAAGAACTTTCCACAATGTCCAAAAGGGATGTTTGACATTTGCTTTGCCGCCACTACAAACAACCTCACCAAACACAAGGCAACAAGACTGCCTCTTCCTGGTGCAAACCGGTTTCCCCAGTCATGCCCAAATGCACAGGGTGAAATTACCTGTATCTTCTCGGCCTGTATCCGCTGTAGAGGTTGGCATAAGGACTGTACCCACCACGGTACACTGACCTGGCAGCACCACGGAATCGTGCCCGGCCGGGGCGGTCTGTAGTGGAAATACCTGGCCGATTGGTGCGCTTTGCACTCACCTAGCAGGCAAACAAAGGACCGATTTGAAAACTATCGAAAACAGGGATTTGCAAACCCACTCATTTTACAAATCACTGCAAAGAGTCAATGCTTTCATATTCTAAAAAAACGTTTTGGAGTGCCTCAGTGCCATGCAGCATAATGACCAGACTGATGTACGCTGGATGTCCAATGAAGCATCGTTTGTGGATGGGAAGATGAACACGTCAGCGAATTAAGCTTACACACCTTAATCTGCCGTCCCTTGAACAGAGATTCATGGAGGGCTAATGCAGGCTCTACCATATCCTTGTCGGAAAATTCCACGTAGGCAAATCTGGAAAACAACATCGGTTCCCGTGTTACACTTTCAAGCAAAGCAGGCATGGGTCCAGGAACAAGTCCCTGTCACTGTTGACGAAGGGAGGGATGTAGCATTGAGCTGAACTGCACAGCTGCCATGTGGCTGGAACCAAGTTGTAGGCATCACTGGTCTGTGCGCATTCAGATGAAAATCGAGTTTTGCACCCACTTGCACACCGAGAAGTGCATGAGCAAGCATATTGTTGTACAAACAATCGCCCTATCCGAATTCTGTGTCCAGACCGAGGATTAGCTCTTTTCCGGTCACAAATACGCGACAACAGATGTGGAAAGCCTATTCTTGGCACAGCCAATGCATTTTGTAAAGGCCATTGAGCAACAGCTCATCAACCTGAAAAAAAAACCCTAGATCTTTCTGGTAATGAGATCCGTAGAAATGCACGGATACAATCCTTGGACCATACCACCACTGCAAGGCTTTATCTCAAGACTGCTCAGGACTTGCAGTCCACTCTTTAAGTAGAAAAAACTGTGTTGGGTAAGCTTGAGTTTGTTTCTGCATTCAATTGGGGACCCTGAACAATATAGGACAATAAGTTCCCCGAATGACAGAGGGTCCCCGATTGACAACTGTGTACAAGACGTATGGGTGGTCTTCTAAAAAATTAAAGTACAAACAAAAGAGGATCAATAGGGGGTCCCCAGTTGCAGGCAAATACACACTTGTGTGTACACTTAACATGCTCACCAGTAATTATTCTAATCACGACTTACCCCTTTGGATGGCCGGTAAATTTGTCACATAGAATTGTGACTCTGTTTATCGATCCACAGCCATGGAAATGCTCCTCTAACTCTTCCGCAGTCGTGGAGTAGTCAACCTATTGGCAACAAATAATAATAAATTCTAGGTTATGTCTGGGACCTGTGACATTTCAACTGCAGCACATTTTGCCATGAAAGTTTCATTTCTCACAATTAGCTTCCAATCTGAACAAGCCAAATTTCAGAGGGGGGGGATAGAGGTGGGAGGGGAGACTGATATGAACTTTTTACCAGGCTAGCAGGCAGTGCGATTTCTCATCATCCTCAGTAATAATTTCATTTGGGCAGAGGGGAGGACTTTATCTGGTTTCAGCTGACAAGAATAGTGTATCGACACATTTCACAATGGATGTTGATTCAAATCCCCCAATCCAAACATGAGGGACTTCCTCTCTGAGAAAGGTGCCACTTCTTAGGATGCGTAAAAAGCCAGTGGAGAGTCAAAAACATCTTCAAAGTGTTTCCAAACAAAACTGTACATGGTTCTCAGCTTCAGATTCACGTTTTCAAACATTTTTTTAAAAAATGGCCTACTTACGGCGAAAAAATGTGCTGTCAAGATTCAATACTCCTTCCTTAAAAAGAAAAACCCTTCATTTCCCTTCTGTAAATGTTGAAAGACTCTCTCCCGCACTTACATAGCCCAAGAAAATAGAGATGATTTTCCTGATGGGAGGACGGGGGAGAACAGTACGCATTCCCCTCAGTGCCACTTTAACTCACCAACTGTTGTAAAACTAACAGACGGTCAGAAGCTCAATTCACTGTCTCGTAACACTACGCAAATCTCTCACATGCCACCTGGCTGATTTTAGCCGACTTACATTTCCCACATAAACTGATCTGCTGTCCACCTCCTGTTTGTCCTCCAGGGACAGCGGCGCAGCCGGGCCGGGTGCCGGCGGGGAGCTCATGTTCATCTGTTTTTCCACTTCACTCTGCATCTCCTTGAGCTTCTCGGCTTCCTCTTCCATTTCTCGGACCCGAGCCTTGATGGCCTCAAGTTCCTGCAGAACACCAGACATCCACATCGAAACACTGAAATGTTGAAATCAGCTGATATAACATGTACAAATGACAGCACAAATAAGTGAGCAAAGTATTTCCAAAGTGTAGGCGTTTTCGAAATTCCACCTTTTAATTGTAGACACACGATGGAGATCACCACTGGTTGACGCTGTTAGTTTCAACATCTGTGGGGCATGATCAATGATCAGTTCTGGACAAAATTTTCTCGTTTACATTCCCTTGTAAAATCAACTGGGTACGAGTCAAATTCAACACAGAAAATATTGATCTGTATGCTTAGAAAACACTGAAATCAGACTGGTCTTACAGGGTTTGTGCATGGGGTGTAAAGTGATATCGGATAGGGAACTCTTTCCTAAATAAGAATGACATGCACGGTCATAGCTGACACTGCACTAGTACATAGCACTCATGACTTTAACTGTTTGTTAATGTACTGGAAATGATGTCACATGGCGCGCCAGCCTAGCGGACCATTCACAACTGATTCCTGAGCGCCGCAATGTCCGGTAGCTGTGATCACACCTAAACTGTACTCCGGACATTGAGGCACTCAGGGATCAAGTCGTCGGCGCGTATGTGCCAACATCGCATGTGACGTTGTCTCCAGCACATTAACATACAGTTCAAATCGCTTTTTGAACAAGACGGTGACTTCGAGCTCGACAACAAGAGCCAAACATCACTGCCTGTCCTCATCCACGTGTGGCCTCAACAGAAAGTGTTCACTGTGTGACAGTGTGCTCATGTGCACTGGTACCCAATGGCGGTTGCTCATCGTTCCTACAATTCGGGCATAATGAGGAGTCCTGTGATTGGTCAGTGTGACCCCCAGCGCGCCGCAGCCAACTGCAATTTCAACCATTCAGTCCAGTCATGGTGAAGAATTACACACACATGTACGGAAAGCGGCTGCAGCCAATTTCCGTGTGTTGTCAGGTTGTGTTTGGATTGCAGCTTGGTTACGGCTCGTCTTCACAAGCACACATGTGAACCACATGACTCTCAGACGCTGATCGAGAAATATTTGCACCATTTTTTTGAAAACGGTATGATTTTGGCCCCTTTTTTTCTTGGTACAAAGTACAAAGATATGTAAACTACCATACTGTACATAGATCTTGGGGGAAATGGAGCACCATTTCTACGGGTACACAACTAGAATAAAATAGCTATTCGTGCCGTGTTAAACATCATGCAGAGCCTTTGGTGAAAAAGGCTAATTTCTGTGGGGTTCGTGGGAGCGGAGCGGACCCCACAGTTCTTGGGGGTAGGCCCCTAATGTATGATCTTGATGATTGGATTAACAGTGATCAACCATTGTCAACAAAGGATGAAAACACAATGTAAATCATGATAATTATCAATCAAGCTCAACTACTGAAGGCAATGAATAGTGCACTCACAGCATCCTCAACACCTGTTTCATCTGCACCGGGTGACTGAAGCCCTTGTGAAGTTTCTTCATCAGGTCCAGCAACTAATGCATCTTCTGCTTGATCGTCAAGAAAATCCGCCATCTTGAAATGAAATTGAGATTAAAGTGGCTAACACGGTTGATAGTACATCGACTTTTTACCAGACACATATTCTTCAAGCTGTACTTCTTTGAAAAGTATCATAGAACAGGCATACTTACATCTGCTGACTCCGATGTTACTGGATTGAATAAGGCAAATTAAATAAATGGGCACGTATGTTGGAACCGTTCCACACAAACGAGCCCAATCACTCCTTTCATGCGCGAGAGGGCGCTCTGTGGCTTTGCGATTGTTTACCTGAAATACATGTATCAAAATGGGATCAGGTCAACTCGGACCCAAACCAACTCGGACCCATT